AGCCCAAAACAGCATATTTGCACTAATGCACCTTAATAGAGCTTATCCATTTTATATGTTAAGCCCTCAGTGATCAAACTGTGTCATGTTCTTACTTAGGCCCACAGCCATAAGTGATTAAGAAGCGACAGAGTACTCTCTTAGAGGCAATTTGACTTTGCAGAATAATTCACATCATATCATCAGTTCATTATCTTAACCCTATACGGGCTAAGGTGAATATATTACTGATTTTATTAGAGATCGCTGTTATAAATTGCTCCCCCCAAAAAACATTGTTTTTTGTACAATATAAAGAAAGACAAATCAACATTTGTTAGGTTAGTAAATGTGTTGACAATAAATTGAGACAGAGAGAGTTATTTTTCTACAAAATTAAAGGGGGTACAGAGTTACCCCAATTTAAAGTAATTAATCCAACCCTTCTATTCTAAACCTCAGCCCTCCTTCCTGTGCCAAGATGCTTGTGGTATATAATTTATTATACCCATCATCAATTCCATTGCATAGATATGGAGAGCACATTGACTGACTTCTTACCCACCTCTAACTTGCAATGAAAAGGTTAATGTTGCTGTAACTATAGTTTCCGCTGAGACTTACTTGCCGCACACTTAGAACACGAATCCCCTTAACGAGTCTGTCATTGCTGCATAGAATGTATCTCGGTGTTTAGGAGATTGGAGTGAGGACACACATGCAGAATACAGGGTGGAGATTGCCTTGTGATGAATTAACTCCTTTATTCAGGCACTACATCGAATCTGCTTCATACACAAGCGATATCTAATGTTCCTATTTGTAAGATTAACCCATTTGGCTGAAAACATTTTTTGAATTTGTACAGTCCTTGTCATGATATTATAATGGGTTTTATATAAAAGATATAAAATGGGACACAAATGTCAGAGTCAGATTAAGGTTCCAAGAGGTTCCATAGGCAGATTACCATTTGAGCCCCACTCTCCTTCACTCATTTTCCTTGTGCTTCACATACTCCCACTCCTAACATTTCATTCATCACTCAATACAGTTAATATACAATGTGGGACAGAATTTAGAGTAGGATTTGACAGATAAGTAACTGATTTGTTAGTTGTTAATTTATTTATTTTTTTTGTTGCAGGTACATATAACTTAGTCTTGGCGGATTCACCATAGGTAATTTCGTGAAGTAACGACAAGTAAAATTAGTGGAATTTTATTAATGTGAGATATCGGGATGGAAAAATGTTAATGTCCTGTAGAGAAAAATTGTCCTGAAATGTGGTTTCAAATAGAATGGAGCTACTGCCCAAAGAGTCAGTGCCACAATGGACCTCCTGAGACAACTGTTAATCGAGCGGATGAGTTCTAATGATTCCCAGATTAATTGGCCGCCGCGTTGACATGACCTTTCAACTCCCGATTACTTACTGTGGAGATATCTGAAGGAGCGGGTGTACATGAAAAAACCACATACACTTGAATAGCTCACGGAGAATATCAGTGCAGAAATTCGATTGCTAGAGCTTCAAACATTAACTAATGTTATGAAAAATTAAATTGAAAGAGCCTGACTTTGCGAGGCGGCAAATGGAGTTTATTTAAAAGATGTTATCTTCTGTACCTAGTCAAACAAATCTCAATATGTTAAGCATGCATTGTATGTAATATCATTGAAATTGGATAATTAATAAAACAGTTATTGATTCTTCAAACCATAGTCTGAATCTTGGCCCGTCCAGTAGTTAGAGACTGTGGAATGTCTGTGAATGTAGAGATGTATTTGTTTGCAATGTCAGCACCTTTACACTCCTAAATTGAGATGGATTAAGATTGCCTAGGGCACTGGCCTTTGTATCTGCGTGTGGTGCGTGTGTGTGGTGACTGAGTATCGTGTATGTGAAGGAGAGGTGTAGAGGGGGGCTAAACGTCTCTGGCACTGTGCACCTGTATACATGTCTGAGCATTCTGGAGTGTGTGCCTGTGTGCATCTGTATGTATGTTTCTGGGAGTATATGTATAGGGGGTAGTGGGTAGTGCGTTGTGTTGGGTATAGTTGGGGTGCTTGTGGTCTTTGTGTATTGTTGTTACAGGGTATGTGTGGCAGAATGAGAGGAGTGATGAGTGTGACACAGTTAGGGTGAGTGTGACAGGGTGCATGGCGATTGTTACAGGGTTATTGTGGCACGGTAAGAGGGTGGTGAGTGTGATAAGGTTAGGGGAGGTAAATGTGATAGAGTGAGGGCAAGCAATTGTGATAGGTTGAGCAGTGACAAGGTTGACGGATGAGTGGCTGTGGCAGGGTAACAATGTGTGGGGCTGAGTGTGTATGGGGAGTGGCAGTATGTAAGGAGGCTGTGTTAAGCACAGTCTCCTCACACTAATGCCGTTTATTTTTTGTATATAATGTTTGCCCCCTTTTCTGTTTACTTCATGGGCAGCGAGGGGGGCAATAATACATTCCCTGGTGAAATAATTTTTAGACATTAGAATGAATTCTCTCTAAAATATGTGTCTGTCACTATTGTTGTGCTTACTCTGTCTATCTGTGAGTCACTGTTATCTGTAATTGAATTTAAAAATGCTGATGTTCATTTTTTATTGATCGCACCTAAGTGTGATTGTCAATAAAAAAAATTCTACCTAAAAGAAAATCAAAAACATTTTCCAAGCTAAATAAAGATTGTAACAGTAACTGTGTTTTATTAGTGAAGTGTTTTCTGTACCCTAGAGCACTACAACACATAATACAATTAATGAGCTGATCTATAACAGAATAAATAGCAAATGTTAGAGTTATTGATTCTGAAGTGTGCAGATACGTGATAATGTGAAGTATTGACTGTGAAATTTATCTTGTGATTTCTCTGGGTCTAAGGTGCAAATGCTTCAATCCTCAATTTTAATTCTGTCCAAAATAATACACATCGATCTTTTGCCAAGGGCGATTCTAGGTTTTAATGCCCCCTGAGAGAATGTTGATTAATCTGCCCCACGTTTACCAAATGTGATATTATTTATATAAAATTGAAAAAAAAAGTGCAATATATAAGGTCACTTGTTTATTTCATTTGTATATTTCCAGAAGTGCATTAGAAAAGTTTTAACATTTAGACGAGTCTGTTCTTTATTTGTCACTTGGTTGAAACGCAAATTGTCTATTTCATTTGATCATAATGAAGTGCTACTTATGTTACTTACGTAAACTGTTGAATTCCTGCTTCCAGTCTGATTCAATGAATTATTCCATAAGGAATGCAGGGAAAAAAGTAGCTTCCAGAAGATAATACATTGGAAAATGTGTAACTGAATAAGGGTCGAGAAGCCGAGAAATCTTTTTTTAAACTCATTAATGTCAACCTGTCATAACATGTTTACTTTAACTTAGAATATCACCTAAAGCAATTAATTTAACATTTGCATTATAGATAAACAATATAGTTAAAGGTACAAGGTACTATTGTAACTGCTTCATCTCATTGAAGTGGTTATAGTATCTCACAAGTTATATTTTTATTTTCAGTAATAAATAATATTTAATAACAGTGATTATTTAAGCTAGTTTTAATTTTACTATGGCATTATGTTTACTTTCTGGAATTGTGTTCTTTTCATTTACAAGTTGGAATAAAAGCATGGTTTTAATTTAAAGCGGCACTGTTACCATTGGGGGGTTTTGCATTATTTGCAAAGACCATCGACGGTGACATCGGTGCTAAGGGTCCGGAGGCGGGAGGGGCAGCGTCCCTTGCATGTGCTGCCATCCTCATCTGTTTCTGGCACTTCAGTTAAAGTAGCCGATGTCATAGATGTACTCTCGCACGTGCGTGAGATTACAGCATTTAGTTCAATGGAGATCGCAGGATCCTCCATAAACAGAGCCAATTCCCTGCAGCCGTCACTGGTAACATCCAACTGAATAAATCGTTGTCACGGTGATATAACCTAACATGCAGAGTCTAGGATAACAATAGTAGACCAGATAGAACAGACATATTACTGGACATTAGAGTGGTCCGGGCAAAAGAGAGAAATCATAGTCAAAATACAAAAATATCAGAATAACATATAAACAAGCCAGGTAAGGATTACAGAAGTACTCAGAGTCAAGAAGTAGCCGAGGCCAATGCCAGAAAAATCAGACAGGAACAAGGAAGGCACTAAACGGGTACTAGGAACAGAAGCCATGATAGGGTACATTAAATGGGGCCCCAAAAAACATATATACAGTTAGGTGTCCATTAAATGGTCCATGTCACATCTGTGACCGCAAAACATGCGTTAATGGGTAACACGGGTCAACTCCCCTTGTGCATCTTTAAAAATGTGCTTCGTATGTAAGCAGCATTCGTATCTCTATAATGCGGCCCCATTGGGACATCGGATCATCGCGTGGCCAGGGCAAGTAACGCTACCATCTGTTGCCAGAATGGACATTTGGCAGCGCCTAACCGAGTTCCCGGCTGCCAAAATCACGTGTGCCAGGGATGCAACTAGCAACGGGCACACAATATCTCAGTATGTGCAGTGTTTTCAATACTGACTCCTACCACCATGACCACTTTAAATTACCGAAACGGTACTAATGGTGGTTGGAGAAACCCTTACAACTGTTTTGATTTGATATTGATGCCATAGTATGCCTCTAACCCTAGCTACTTATTACTCAACACTTCTTACTGCTAAAATAAAAAACCCCAGGAAGGATGTAGCTCCTGGGCAACTTTTAATAGTTATGATGGCCATTTGCACATGATTTAGCCAAGCAGTGTCAATTTAAGATACATTGCAGTTGTAATAATTTATTTTCTAATGTAATGCAGGGTTTATGCTTATCAACCAGCGTTCAGTGTTACTGTCAAGTTTTGACTATAAATAAAGTTGTTGTAAAACATTCTCGTTAGCAGAACAAAGCTGAAAGATGATTGGATAACCCTGTAACACTGTTCAATACTGTGGTTTCTGATTGGCGAAGCTCCAGCGCGTCTTCCGCATGGCAACCGTTGTTAGGGCTACTTGAAAGTGGCGCTTCCTGCTTCCTATATGAATGTGGCTTCCCGGGCGCTCTACGTGGGACACTCCGGCCATCTGTCATGGAAAGTAACTCACTGTTTCATGCTAGCCCGAGAGAGACATGTCCTTCTTTATTACAGTGAGTTTTTATTATTAGCAATAATCAGGTATCCGCAGTAGTTATGGTCAGATGGTGGATCTGTCAATAATATTTGCACCTGAAGGCTAAATTCTAAAATTATAAGAAAGCCCTTAATCATTGTACACTGTAATATAAGTTAAAACTCCCTCATTTGTAGTGTTTTGTGGATTATATTTAACTATTATTGACCAGTATTTATTGCTTTTCTTATGTTCTCATACATTGATAATGGAAATATGTAATTGTGCAATTTCTGTATTTTAGGGTATAAATTGAATGGCACATGGTGATCAGGAATCCATGCCAAGCACTGTTTTATGGTAAATATTTACTAAGTACAGTACCATGTAGATGGTAAGAAGCCCCTACAGTGCAGCACGTGGTGAGTAGAGGAAGTTACCTATGGAATTATTCATTTAAAAAAAAATCTGTTTACATGATAACATTACTTGAACCTCAATCTATTGTCGTTATTGATTTTTTTTTTTTTTTTTTTTTTGCTAGGTTCTGTATCCCAGTGTTTCGTGGCATGATTAGAGTAACACTGCAGGATGTTGTCTGCAGACTGCTCTCACAGGTACTGATCAGTGCCTGTTTTGACTTTTTTAAATATAAATTTCTACTGTAACAAATGTAGACTTTCTTATTTACATATAAAAGTTCATGTTACTATCTAGACTGTATGTATATGGTCATCACAATTTATGAAACCGGCATTAAAAAAAACAAAAATGTTGTATATGCCAGAAGAACTTAAAAATGAGACACTTAGGTTTTCTTTAATTTGAGCACTGTCAGGACCACTGTTTGTTTTCTCAAGCATGTGACCTTTTCATGCAGCTGACAAAACCATGTAATAGCAGCAAAATGATCCTTATCAATGGTGTTGTTTTGTTTCTCCTTTCAAAACCAGCACTTAGGAACAACCTTAGTGCTAATCTTTTTACCTTTTACTAAGAAACGTTTTGTGTGTGTGTGTGTGTGTGTATGTATGTGTGTGTATATATATACACACATTATAAAAGGAATCTTGGGGCCAAATCATACAACATACAATATCCAGCCCACTCGTTCATTAAAGGGCAATTTTGAAAGCTCACAAAATGCAATACAAACCTAATCCAGACAAAACCAATGGGGGTGCAATTGGAGTATATGATTGGCATTGTGGCAGGCTTATGTAATATACAATGTACCCCATTCTTGGCAGGCCCTATCCTAGCAACTTAATGACTGCTCTTATGAGATTAATCCACTTACTTTGGAAATGCTTTCTCCTGGGACTCTCTGCAGGTCAAGGTTAACTTGGGACCTGGAATCAGGCACCTGTGAGAGGGAGGGGTACAAAACTGTAATTAAACTCCCATAGGTTTTTATCTGGGTTAGGTGTATTTAAAGAAGACCATTGCATTCTCCGAGCTTTGAAATTGCCATTTAATGAATGAGTGTGCTGGATATTTAATATAATATAATATTAAATATATATATATATATATATATATATATATATATATATATATATATATATATATATATATATATATATATATATATATATATAAAAAAAATTTTATTATTATTTATTTATTTTTTCCCTCTTTTTTTCGTTCTTAGAATGTTCTACAATTTATGTTAATTGCTAAGGTGGTAGGCCTTTATTCCAGCGCTTGCAAGAAACTCCTTACTATAGCCCAATCCACCAAGCGCTGAGACACATGGCGCATGTACAGTAACTGGCAAGATCTACCAATAATGATTTTCATTGAGAAGGACTCACTTCCACGTTGAACTGCAAGTAAGGCAGGAAACCTCAGCCAGCTGAAGTGCTTTAGGGGACTGCCGTGTTCCTATAACTAGACTAGGTGTTTGATCCCAATCATCATTCAAGTTACACGGAAGAGAAGCCAATTAAACTTCTCAAACAGAAACAAGGAAGAGAGGCCAATTTATTATACATAGTTTCACCAACAGCATTAACCTTAGAACAGGAAATCGAATAAAATAACATTCTGCATAATATCTACTTCTACCTCATACTAAAACCTGACAGATCTGCATGTAAAAAATGTATGTCTTTGGACAGGCTTTTGTCATTGCTGAACCAAGCAATATTGAACTGCAAGGAGAAAGAGAAGAAGTTAGAGCAACAGCTCACACAGTATCACGCTCTTCTGAGAGAATGGTGAGTTAATGGCTTGTATTTTGCGGGTGGTAGACTGTTCCTTTGCCTCCTCAGCATCATGTAGACAATTACTCTATGGATAGTAATAAATAGGAAATTATTATTGGCGAACTATCTTTCACTAATTATCACAACCACTAAATATATTTTACTTTAGAATGTTCCTTTCCATCCTTTATGCTATATTCCCATTACCTCTACCTCTGTCTGTCCTATTGCTCTCTGCTCTTCTTCTTCGGTCCTATCAGTTTATATTCCCCTGTTTCTTTTGCCCAGGTTAAAGGGTTAATCCAAGCCCCATGATCACTGCATTGATTTGAAGTGGTCATGGTTCCTGCAGTCTGTATGTGCAGCGTTTTGCCATGAAAGGCTGCATATGAGGAGTTTAACCCCTTTGGGTGGTTATGTTTGGAGTAACACTTTAATGTCCCTTTCACTGCACATCATTAGCTAATTTTTAGTCTCACTACTCACTGCCTCTATATGCCATCCCATGACACTTGTTTTATATAGTTCTCTCATTCCCAGTGATTCCGTTGATTTTTCATGGTTGCCACACGTTTTCTGTTAGTGACGATTTTTTGTAACTCTCCATTAGTATCTGAATCTGTTCTGTAGAGGACTAAACAGGAGCCACTAACCCCTACAATTCTATCTAACTAACCACTTTAGGTGAAAATGTCTTTTTTAGAAGAGAGAGACCAGCATAACAAACAGTAGCCTAACCTGCAGATGCCTTGAGTACCCCTTTATGCTTGCAGTGTTTTTCATTAAATATACAGCTTTTGCCCAATATTTTAGTGAATTAGAAGATTGTGACTTGATATCTACTCATACCTGCTGAAGCTGTTCACTTTATTGAAGCAGTAGGAAGACCAGAATTGGCTAAAGGATACTATCCTTCCCTGTTTTTCCCCAATCCTTTTTTTTTTTTTTTTTTCCTCTCTCTTCTCAAATCGAAGTTAGAGGTTTCCAATAAATCAATTATAAATGGAGGTAGTATAGATAATTATACTACTAGTATATCAAAAGAGTAACAAAGAAATAAAACAAAAAATGTTACAAATGGAAAAAGCATAAGGTAGTAGGTGATTGGCAATGAAATGCAGTATTTGGTGCAACTCACTCAGGAGAGCTGTATTTGTGTACTACTTATTGGTACGACTTTGCAAGATATAGCATAACACAGGCATTTTGTTTTTTCCATTAAAAAAATAAATAAAATAAAAAATAGAAAAAAAAATATATATATAATTTATTTATTTTTATTGAGATTTTCAACTTTTCATTAAATTTTGACATGCTACATCGTACGTGCACAGTATCATACACAGGTATAATTATTAGCTAATAGCATTGTATAATAGAAGAAAACAATAAGGATACAGAATATGTAAAAGGAAGAAGAAAAATAAAATAACAATAACATTGTGTCTCCATTGTCTGTACTGCTGCACTAAAATTGTCAGTCCTTGTAATTTGCGAAGCACCCCCGGTCATGGACATACACCCAAGTGCTGAGTGGCTACCTCCTCAAGGGAGAGTATATTATATGTGGTTTACATATGTAGGTAACGAGCTACTACTGGCTGTATGGTAGCATTATAGGGTTGTGGTGGCACAAAGGTCGTTTCTTCATAAGTTTTTACTGTACGCAATTTCTCAAAGACCAGTGCAATTGGCGGTAGTTCCGTTTTCTTCCAATACCCAGCTATACTACTCCACATCAATTAGTATGTGTATAATAATAGATCTTTCGTGTTTTCGCCTGTAATTGGGCAAGAAGTTCAATAAATACGAGTCAGTCTAGGGTGGAAGATCCTTTCTCGAGAGGCTCTTTATGAGCTGTGTGATCTTGTCCCAAAAAGCTGATAACTTGGCACAAGACCAGAAAACGTGACTCTGTGAGCCCGTGGATTTACCACACCGCCAGCATTCCGGAGATACGTGGAAGGCATTTTAAGTGTGCTTTTGAGTGGAGCAAGTGCAAGGTTTGGGGTATAATTGATGGGGGGATGACTGGTCCAACTTATGGAAAAAGCCAGGGGTCTATATAAGGTACTTAAAGGAACTCTCCAGTGCCAGGAAAACGTTTTCCTGGCACTGCTGGTCCCCTCTCCCTCACATCCCCGGTTGCTGAAGGGGTCACTAACCAAAGGCAGCGACGATGTCCCTCGTCGCTGCTTCGCCCTCCCCCGCTGCTCCTCCCCTTCATCACGTCAGCCGGCAGGGGAGACCTAATGTGCATGCGCGTTAGACCTCTCCATAGGAAAGCATTGAAAATACTTTTCAATGCTTTCCTATGGGGATTTTAGCGACGCTGGTGGTTTGAAAACCTGTGCTATGGACCAGGAAGTGCCCTCTATTAGACAGCCACTAGGGGAGGACTTTATGAAAACTGCAATAATTACAGTTGCAGGGTTAAGGGTAGTGGGAATTGACACCCAGACCACTCCAATGGGCAGAAGTGGTCTGGGTGCATGGAGTGTTCCTTTAAGGATGGTATTCTCCACTGTCACTCATTGCAAATTCCATGAATGGACCAATTGTTATGCATTTTGTCTATCTGTTCCTGCACAGAGTGAACTCTTCCATTTGAGGGCTATGATGGTTTTTGGCTGCTAAAGTCACATGAGTTGCTAGGGCACATTGGTAGATGGGAAAGCCATGTACATATATAGCTTGCAACCAATGGCAAAAGGGTCACTTTACATAAGGAGATAGTTAAATCACGAACCTGTCAGTGGAAGGCACTGGTGTTATTGTATATTTTGTGTAATCTATCTGGTGTCCAATACCATCTCTGTAAATGTTTTCTGTTGCATCAATGTGGTTATAGCACAGAGTGATGTCTTTCAGGCCATTAAACCATGCAATCCATTTATCAGTATTATGCTCCACCACACAGTTTCTTTTCCAGTGTAACATAATCAGGTTTGTAACATACCGATGGTTATTTAGGTCTAAGGTGATTAGACCAACATCGTTGTTATAGGCTTTGTATCTCGTGGTGTTGTGTCAATTGGTTATACCACTGTACGTTGATGTATTTAAAAAAGGACACTTTTTTTTTTTAAGTTGAAGATGGTAAAATATATATTTAGATGCCAATGTTTTGTGTAGTAAATGGTGTTACCTTGTTATAGCATATCACCTGTGAAACGTGTAATGCTTTTTGTAAATATATATATATATAATTTTTTTTTTTTTTGGTTTAACGTATAATCATATATCATGGCACATAACTTAGAAGGTTAAGAAATGAATTTTTAACTGTAAGAGGTTTAGACACGCAGGTCTGGTAACATATCAGAAAGGAAGAGACACGTAGGTCTTGCAACTTACATCTTCTAACCATGATGACAAAGATTTCCCTGCGGTCATGTGACAACTTGTTGTCTCCGTAAGTGTATTTTCATGAACCCGTTATCTTGTATGTTTTTGTTGTGGTGTGTTGCATACAGTATGCACATGCTAAGATTGTGATTTTGTGGGGGGGTTTTTTTTGTTGTTGTTTTTTTTGTAAATTGAGTTTTTATTATCGTTTTTGTCATTGAGCGTTTAACTTGCAATAAAGAGGTAGGACTCGCAGGTCCATTGTGTGTAATGCCTTTTGTGACCCATGGTATTATGGGCAAGTTTGGGTGACTGCCTGCATGGCAGCTAGCAGAAAATAAGATGCAGAGGATTTCGAATATTAATGGATAGTATGGTAGGGAAAGGGAGGGGGAATTTTTCCTATAACATTTGGGTGTTCCTAAAATGTGTGAGGGGATTCCTTCATACCCCCATGTGACTATATTTTCAGCTGGGCTAATTTGGCCTGATATGCACATTTCCCTGGTCAGTTCCCACTTTTGTCAAACCAGTGGGGATTTGCTGTGGATAGCTTTAATGAGTGGCACATAATGTACCTTAAACTGTTTGTTCTTTGTGTAATCATATTTTCCTGCGTGGTTTTTATATTGACATGGCATAAAGGGAATTGCCTCATCTCATGTTTATTAGAACAAAAAAGCTCTATGATACTATGACGACAGGATAATTAATTACATGTCTGTTTGCTGACGCTGTGTAGGCAAAACGACTTCTTGACTTGATTTCCTCCAATAATTAAAAACACTTAGAGTGGAACTCTTTAAATGATGCACTTGGGGTAGAAAATCAAAAAGTAATTAGGTTTATATCTAGTAATCCTGTTTTTCTCTCTCTCTGTCTTTCTAAAGGAGAACGGATGAATTTGAGGATGGAGAGCAAGATACAAAACCAGACGAGATTCAAAGTAAGTCCTCTGTTACTGGACTATATGTTTGGACACTCACTCATCCTAATAGAGCGCTATAGCCCGAATCTATTAACGTCTTAATTAATCTTAAAGGGACACTATAGGCTCCAAAACAACAGTAGCTTAATGATGCAGTTTTGGTGTATAAAATATGCCCTTTGCAGCTTCACTGCTCAATTCTCTGCCATTTAGGAATTAAATCCCTTTGTTTATGCAGCCCTAATTACACCTACCCTGAAAGTGACTTACACAGCCTTCCTAAACACTTCCTGTAAAGAGTCATCTAATGTTTATACTTTATTGCACAGTCTGTTTAATTTTATGATTTCTTATGATTTCCTGCTCTGTTAATAGATTGCTAGACCCGGCAGGTGTCTCCTGTATGTAAATAAAGTTCAATTTACAGAGCAGTAGATACAAACTTGAAAGTATGTCTCTAAACATACTGCCTCAATGACAATTTTGATTGACAAAAAAACTTGAAAGTAATTTGATCTGATTTCAATTAAACATTTTTTTTTATTTTTTTTTGCATGCAGCCTGTATCAGTCACTGATAGGGGAGGTGTGACTAGGCAGAATAAACAAACAAAAGTAATTGAACTAAAAAATGGCAGATAATTGAGCAGTGAGACTTCAGAGGCATGATTGTTGATGAGCTTCTTAAAACAATATTCCAAATAGTTCAGTATCCATAGACAATACACAAGAATTTCTGTTTAAATATGACCTAAAAGGCATATATACCATTTATAGTAACTGTGAATTGTAATGTGTATGTTCATTTTGGTTGATGTGTCTCACACATGGAGTGGACCTGGCAACCACAAAATAAATGATTCAGGTGATAAACTTCTGGTATGTACAGAAACAGTGTTGGTCATTACTCCAGACCTTGTAAGGGATTTTTGCCAAAATATCCAAATTGGAAAATTTATCAAAATCCACAATTTTTCTATCTCGGCTGTTTGTAATTTCCCCTTTCGAAAACCTAGGGGATTTCTCAACCTCGGGCTTTCCCTTAGACTCAGGTAGTTCCATACAACTCATTCTCAAACCTTGTCCAAGATGCAGTTCCACATTATACGATAGTCGTGCAGGCTTTCCTACTTTCAACACATTCATAATTCACTTCCTTGTTTCCTTCCTAATTAGATTCTCTAATTTCTGAAATCCAGAAGCCATCTTTTTATCCGTCCACTCCAGTTCTATTCTCCTTTTATTCATGATTGAGTGTAGTTAGGACCGCCATTATTTTATTCATTGTCCTATAGCCAGTCCAGACCTCATCCTCTTTATAATTCTACCTTTTTCAAATGGTTGCACCAACAACTGCTTCATAGCCATTCTGTCTTGCCTGCAGATTCGCCCCAAATTAAATAAACCAGTTGTAGCAGAGAGGATCATTCTTCCTAACTGTCCCCTGAAACCCAAATGCTTTTATAATCCTTTTCTCCTACATACAGCTTCATCCTCAACCTCTTCATTACCAGGTGGCCGCACAGTTCCCACTAGTGGATGGCCATTCCAACATCTAATTCAAAACTATAGGGTCCTGCAGGCAGTTTTAGTTTGAGTTCCTGCATTGTTCTCAGGAAATGCAGATATTTATTTTTATTGTTTACTTCCAACTTTGCCACTCCTAGGTGTAAAACGTTTCTCTTTATTGTATGTGAAGCTTCAGCGGGATCATCAAATCAGCAGGATGTCTTTAGGAGAAGCAATTTGAGGCTCTTTTTCATTTCAGCAGAATTTCATAATATTAAGCTACGAGCATGAAAAACATTAACAACCCAGGCTGTCTACCAGACAAGTGTAATAATGCAAGTTAATGTATGCTAATTATTTCTTGTCTCTGTTTCTTTTTTTCTCTCGGTGGAACTATTTATATATTATTTTTAATTTTTTTCTGAAAGGCATTCTGTCGTGCAAAATACAGCAGAGTCTTATTCTCATTTTATAATTTCAACTGTACATCATGCTAGCCAGATTGCATGTGTCCCTGGGGGAGAGGTGGATGTGCACACAGTAAGTTTGCATCCACTGTAGCAGCAAGGCTCACAGTACGTATGGCTTCTAATCTATACATTTGCTAGTCATTTTGTTAGCACGGATGTATAGGTTTAACTTTGGGATTATTTGCTAAACCGAGAACTGTGGAGAATTGAGAGTGAAATTTCAAATTTTGGACTAAAATAAGAAACATTGTATTTTTCCCCCAGTTTAGCTGTCTTGATCTAAAGTCCAGAATACACTGTTTAGTAAATAACTTTGCTTGTGTACCTATCAAAAGTTCACTTTGTCTGCAACCTGTTTTAATGATCTGTGATTTACGTTTACATATATAATCATTCTTTACTAAAAAAACATTTTCTAGACTACTGTAGTTGGTAAGCCTGTTTTTCCGAGGTTTACTGCCTGTTTTTTTGCAATCAGAAAGATGGCAGAACTAATTGGAAGCAATATCTTGTTATTCCGTCATTGAGAGTCTCTGGGGCTCATATGGGATTCGTAGAGGAGATTTCATGAAATGCAGCGAGATTGTTCTCCAAGGAAACTGATTGATTAAATGAATACTCCAAACACCGAGAGCTGAAGTTCTCCAAATGTTAACAGAATGTAACTTCTTTCTTACTTTATAAGACTGCTGATTTTTAAGGGAAATCTACACTTTTATAAAGTTTCTGGGTTGCACACTCCCAATTGTCAGACAGATGGGAGGATGCTCTTCCTCACTACCCCTGAGGACTCTGTCAAGGCAGAAGGGAGCACTTCTCATCGAGAAGCATTGACTTGATCGGGAGATCTCTAGTGATGATCTCCCAGAGACAGATTGCCATCGGACTACATTTTAAAAGGTGTTTTAATGTGCTCCAGAGTATTTATTCTTACACTCATAGGCAGGCTCTCTTCTTTCCACCTCTTTTCAGCTTTTATCGTCTCATTGTCCTTATTCCATTTCTTTCTTACCTAGCCCTTTTCCTATTTTACACCAATTTATTTGATTGCAGGTCTGCCCCCCGACCCCCATTTTTTTTTCTCTTAATTATTTAGTTCTTGCCTTATTTGTGTTTTGTTTGTTTATTTATTTTTATTTACCCTTCCCATGTTACACACTCTACCTAAATCCACCCCCAACCCACCCACACACATACAATTTTAAAAATCTCTAGCTCTGAATAGGCAGTATAAACATCAAGGACCAGTTAGTTATAATTTATGATTTAATAAAGTAAAATAAAATAATCGGGTGTCACAAGAAAACCAAAAAATTAGGTAGACCTTTTTACTGTGCAAACCTGTGTAATCTTAAAATTAAGCAGCTGCTACTACACTGAATGTGTGTGGTTTGTTTGTTTGTTTATTTTTCTGTATGTCCTAGATTTACAGAGTAGTCCATCCGCAAAAGAAATCCAGGAGGTGGAGATACTCAGCAAAGCCCTGGAGAAAGCCTTGAAGGTGCGAACTGGCAGCAGACCACAAACTGCTGGAGCCAGACTTCCACTAGCCAATGCTCAAGTTGAACCACCATGTCCATCCACTAAGACAAAGCCCCTCATCAAATGTTCGCATCCTGGAAGAAAGCCTATGACCTACCAGTTGAATCCTCCATACAAGACTAACCCAGAGAAGAAAAGGGCTCATGGGTCTAGCAGAGGGAAATTAAGTGACGGGACTAGGCAATTCACTTCTGGGGTCAGCCTCCCAGATAAGGAGAGACGTGGCTGCGCCCAACTGCACAAGGCCAAAGAAGGCGCTTCGAGTACAGACACAGTGCTGGGAGCATCAGCACCTCCTACTGTTATTTCCCAACCGCTGGAGACACAAGAAGCGCAAGATGAACAAAAGCATAGGGTGAAACATCTACGGTAAGCTAATTATTTAATCTCCTATCCTCTCTTGTCAGGACAATACGCAAATGTAGAAAACAAAACCTTTTTCTTTTTTTTTTTTTTTCTTCTCATAAAACTCAGTGTTGATTCTGTAATTTGCTGGTGGCTTATTTTTCCATCTATATGGAAGAGAATAAAAAAAAGAATTCAAGTCAGATGAAGCTGATTCAGGTTGTTTGTGAACTAACCAAAATTTCAAAATCAATTTGTTCAGGGGTTGCCAGGTATTTTTATTCATTTAAATTTAATCATTTAAAACAAAATTTTCACTTGTCCAATATTCCATTTTTTTTTTAAATTTTTTTTTTTTTATGGGTTTTGTTTATTTATGCAATTTTTATAACTGTGTAACAAATGGGGTTAATAAGATAATCAATATCCCAAATGAATTCCCTCCAAGGCAAGTACGTTAATTTTACCATTTACATTCTTGAACCTATTAAACCACTTCGAATCTACTATAAGCAGCTTTTATGCTTTCTCTTGCCTGGTGTCGGGTATGGGGGGAGAAATGGGTTAACTTTAACTGGAATGGAAAGGACATTAATCTCCTAATGTAGTGACTCGCTTGTTTCCTTATAGACACGCTCTGAGGCTCCCAGTTGAGTATCGGCGGTTATACACGAAAAATAGCAGGCAAGTACTTTGAAATGGGTAGAGTGAGAAAGCTGCATTTACATATTGATGCATGGCAGACTGGGAGAATTGTCCAAATATAATCTTGACCACTGTCTGTTATATTGTAAATTTTCTACTGTCTTGGCGCCCACCATTGCATGTTATTTTGTGATCATCTGGGACAGCCACTGTCTCATGAATCACACTGGGATGATTTGCTTAAAGGGAAACATGGCTTACCCGCTGTCCACTTGCCCGCCGCGATCACATCAAAGAGCTGGGTGTTACACTTCTGTGACGCCCACCACCGGTCACCCGTGCGCCGCCAATGTTCTTTGCCGACTTGCCCTGCTTGGAGACACTTCCCCAAGCAGAGCAAACCTCTTCCATAATGCTGACATGCTGGCTTCATTTCCAACGTGTCCGCGTCTGAGCAGAATGGTTCAATAGGTTTTCCTCCCAACCTATACAATTGCTATGAAAACCGCAAGCATAATGTATGTATAGAATGTTAAGCTCTTTAAAATAAGCTAGTTGTATATTTGATGACCGTTTCCCTTTAGGGCTGGTCTTGTCTAGACATTTCTCAACGGGCCTTCATCAGTCAAGCTGTCCCAGTTAAAATCTAATACAGGCAGTGTAATAATTATCACGAAGCAACAAGATTAGCTAGCCCTTATTATAAGACAGGGACCATGTATATGCTTCCTTTTATTTATACTGCAAAAAGGAACATTAAAATTTCAGGAAAAATAAGGATCTAAGTGCATGGGTTCTGAAAGAAGAAAACTTTAACAAAGAAACAATAAAGGATATGTATCAAAGTCTTGTGTTCTGGAAAAAATGGTTCAAAGTACTAAAAGTGGGGCAATCACCATGACAACCACAGGAAGCAGCAGGCATATTCCTCTCCCCTTTTACATCTTTACACTACATTTCAGAACATGACACTGATAAATCTCACCCAGTGTGTATTTGAAGTGGCCATGAGAATTATATGAAGTTATAACTGCAATGATATATATGCATTTTTTTTTTTTCAGATTGTGGGACAGTTTTTATGACATTCAGAGACCGTGTCCATCTTCTCAACCATCATTTCTAGAGAGGCTGCAACAAACCGTATCCTACACTTGCTGTTTGACTGTAGCATAATCCTGGTCTGTAAACCATCAGTGCCTTTAATCCAAATTATGTGGGACTACAACTCCCACAATACTCAATCAGATGATGGCTGGCTGTATTCTAGGTGTTGCACTATACATCATCTGGGGATTGGTGTAGTGTGACATCCCTGCAGTCTAATGTATTGTGAGCAGGTTTCCTCTTTTAGAAATTAAACTAATAAAAGAGTCGCTCCAGTCATTGCAACCACAATAGCCTTCTGTAGTGGTTATGATGCCAGGAGAATGCTGGCCCAGTTCCTCAGTGGTTTGACCATCGGCTCTGATGCTCCTTGGTGGTTTGGTAATGCAGATAAACAGAAGCAGTGCCCATCCCCATTCATAGCCTTTAAGCTTTGGTTCAATGACTGACTTTCTGTGCAACAGCAGTTACAGAATTGACATTCGTTAACTCTAGTTCCAGGCTGGCTGACGACTCCTCGATGATGCTGCCAGAGGTGGAGTTATACCTCTGGTAGCAAAGGGGTTAAACTCCTTATGTGCAACTTTTCACGGTGAGACACCCCACATGCAGGCTTCAGGCACTATGACTATTTCATTCACTGAAGTAGCCATGGTGCTTGGAATAATGCTTTGATATTACTGACACCCTGTAATGGTTAACTCCATTACAAAATGATTTTCCTGATTTGTTTTTCTACCATTTTCTGTGGCCTACGTCTAATCATGTTAAATATTGAGAGTAAGAATTATCCAGCTATTCTCAAACCTGGAGTGGGTTTAGGATTATTTTTTTTTTGATAGCTACTAAAAAGGTTGTGGTGAGACCAAACATTATACAATTCCCCACAGTGCAAATACAAACCTTACTGTCATGCATTACCTGCATATCTCAAATTGGACTTGGACATCCTTCTTGTGCATAGAAGCTCCATAGAATCATCTTTCCACGACTATCCCAGAGTTCCTAGCTTGCCATGCAAAGGAGTATGGACAGGCATGTTTTAGACCTAATACTGCATTTCTGCACATAGCCTAATTTTGGGGATCAGTTAACTAAATTAAAGTGTTTAATCTGTATAGCTGTTGTAATCTAGTCCTGTGGACCATTGAGAGTTTAGTAATATATAGCCTTGTGGGCCACTGGGTGTGTTTGGTAATATATAGCTTTGTGGGTCTGTGTGATATACCTGGTTTAAAACCAGTCCATGGAATATGGAAGGAATGACAATAGACGCACATGAAGCTCTGATTAATCCATGAAACATGCTCTCCTTTTATTCTCTGTGGACATACGCTGTGGCTATGATTGTGCAGTTAATGTGTATGTATGTATGTAGGCAGACAGCATTGTATTTAATATGCTCACCCATATATTCAGCCTTTCCTGATTGACAATATGTATATTTATAATTAAGTGTAAATATATGTAAATCACCATTAAATATGAATTATTCCTATTCTGGGTTCACATTGATGTTAATTTGTACATAAATATTCAATATGAATAACATTGATATTCCACAAGCACCCTTGATTTCAGAGATTTGCGAAATACTTAAATGTACCAGCACGTGACAATCCCTATATGGGCAAAGGAAATGGTTTATTCTACGCTTGGCAAGGGAGAGACTTCTGAAATGCATTTCCCATGATGTTTGAGGACCTGGGGGTAATTTTCCACAGGCCCATTATTAAGAAATTCATTCTCGGTAGTGCTTCCAAAATCTTTTTTTGTTTGTATATAATGATGCAGTTGGCAAATAATTTTACACTGGTTTTCCATTTTGCTGGGGGAGAAAAAAAGCCCTCTATATCTATTATATCTATTATTTTATTTATATTTATAATTTTTTTTTTTTTTATTCTTTATTTTTATTGTGCAAGTATTCACAAACAAGCCTGATATGCCATGACAGCTATAACAAGCATAGTAAATACAGGCAAAAGGTATTATTAGCATGGCATTCATAAAAAAAAAAATGCACATAGTTTTTTTTATATATATATATATATATATATATATATATATAATTTTTTTTTTTTTTTTTTTTTGATAATTCACAAGTGTATTGTAGTAGCATTCGGGTTCATTGTGTCTCTTTTTGTTGTTGTAGGTGTAGAAAAAAAAATCTGTTGCATATTACAGGAGACAGGTGTTAAGTTAGGCTATGACAAATTAACATTGTATGTTAGAGATGTCCGTTGATTCACATTATGTTTATGCTTCGTTGGTCATATTTTTTGAGACCGATCTCGCTCCTGCCAGGGACGTATTGGCGTGGATCAACCCTTACTGTTCTTCTGGTTAGCTCATTGTTTCAGCGTGACCGGGATATCTAGAATAAGTAGTGTCATGCCTGCTTGTATTTGTCGGCTGTGTAGCCTTCATATCTTTTTTTTTTTTTTAATCACTTGATACCTACAAGAGAAAAATCCATGATCCATCGTGTTTGTTTTTTTTTTTTTTTATTCTAGTTAGCTAATGTTGTTATGTCTTTTGACTTAAGGAATATTTAAATAATTAATTATGGGGGGGGGGATTCTGTATATTATTGTTACTGTATACTATTCATGATACTCTGGTAGGCAAAGCAACCATGCAATCTCCACTTAATTTGGTTAATTTTGTGCAGTTATATAGCCACTTAAAGGACCACTATAGGCACCCAGACCACTTCAGCTCAATGAAGTGGTCTACGTGCCAGGTCCAGCTAGGGTTAACCCTTTTTGCTGTAAACATAGCAGTTTCAGAGAACCTGCTATGTTTACCTATGGGTTAATCCAGCCTCTAGTGGCTGTCTCATTGACAGCCACTAGAGGCGCTTCTGACTGTGATTTGTTTTCCTGGCACTATAGTGGTCCTTTAACGCATGGGACAAGTGCACGTCACTTCTGCACTGTGATTATGTGAAACTTTGTTAACAGAAGAGTTGAAGGGCGCCTTGAACATCTTAATAACTTTTACTTGTTGACGTGTTTTATGTGTGAAGAGTGTGTCCTCCTCTTTTTAATTGTTTCTCAGTTTTCCAAAAGTGCAGATTTCAATAGAAATTGGCATATTTCTAAATTAACCTTGTAATACCCCGCTGGCTGTCAATCAGACAACAGGTCTTGTTACTTCCTGGTTTGTTTAGCTCAGTGGAGCTCAAGAGGCAGGTACTTGTCCAGAGCACCTGCTTTGCAAAGACTTCTCATTGAGCTGCATTGGCAAGTGTGGGATTGGGAAGCCAAAGAAAGTCTGTGCGGGGTTAGAAGGGGAGGGCTTGCAAAGGATGCAGGCAAGACATCTGCTTTTTTTTAAAAAAAAATTTAACAGCCCCAATAGAAAAAATGCATTGTAGATACATCTAATAAATTGTTAAATAGAAATTTGCAATTGTTCTTTTAAGAGCATCTGCACCGATCCAAACATTTCTTTCTGTTTTTTCTTAACTGCCCGTCAGTTCGTCCCAGGTTGCCCTAGTAAGAGCCTCTTCGAATTACAAGAAGAAATATCTTGTTTGAAAAATTCAATCACAAGAATAAGGCAGAACATAGACAGTCTGCAGAACTGGAGAGGGACAGGTGAGATGAATTGACCATTTACAAACCTATGTTAAGAAACCATCTTGGGACTTATGACCTATTGTATTTGTGTTTTTGCGTTTTTGTTTGTTTTTGTTTTTTCTAAATTTTATTCAAGTATTTATTTAGCCTGTATGAACTCTAGTTCAAAAATGCTGATCTATAAATTGTTGCATAGCTAGAAAATGGCTTGTGCGGGATTCTTTTGATAAATAGTTAATTTATTTCAGCTTATAGAATTAACAAGGGAATTGTACATCTCGGGTGATAATAGCAGAGGAGGTAAAATAGCCGCAATGGGGAATTATTTCCAATTTTGAAATTTCACGTAAAAATTGTTAATTTCCCACGATTCCTGGTTTAGTGAACCATATGTCCCCATGACTAGTTTATCCCTCTGGTTAAAAAGGCCTTTTATTCTATATTAAATTTGATTTAGATTGTGTTGCCCATATAGGCCTTGAGTTTAAAAAAAAATTAAAAAAAAAAATTATTTTTTTAAATACTTTTGGATAAACTTTGAAAAGGATTTTTTTTTTTTAATATATTCTAAATATTGAAATATATAATGTAAAAATTACAGTAGATTACATATACTATATAATCAAAATGTTAAACCAGGGGCGGGCCTGACCGCTGAGCTGGGTGTAAGCAACATAGTGCTGCTCCCGTTCTTCTTGGGAAATATTGTGGGCTATAAGCCATACCCAGCCTTCACAGGACTCAAAAGGCCCACCAACCGTGAGGTGAAATCATGGGGCACACACTGGCACCAAACAGGAAGTGTGTTCTGCAGAAATCGCTGAAACGACAATCATGGCCTACAAGCATGGTTGGTGCGGGGGAGGTGACCGCTCTTCAATGGCTGGACTCTTACAAATAGGCCTCTGTCCCCCCATGGATCAGTGGGGGTTATCCCGGCCCCAGGAAAGCCCCTCCGTGAGAAATGGCGGCTTTCCCAGACGAAACTTAATAAGCCTCAAATGGTGGCAATCGTCCCTGGGCCTTCTAACACAGCACAGGGGTCTGACATTCTGGCACGGCTGGACGCTGTATTTGCAGCCTTCTGGAGGAAGTTAGACCTTGGAGAGCAAAAAGCTCTCTCATGCCTGTTTATTGTGAGCCTCCTATAGGGTCTCTCATATAATCTCAGTCTTTTAGACATGTTCCCTAGGGATAACCGTAAATAGTCTAGCTTTAATATATTTTATTTTCTACAACAGCCCACATACCCTAATGACCCTCAATCGTCTCCTTAAGCATAGTGGGGCCGACCTGATAACCCTAATATTGTGTGTGTGTGTGTGTGTGTGTGTGTGTATAATAGAATATATATATCTCACAATTCCATGCTAACATATATGTCTATCATAAGCTAGCCAAAAGTAAAAATTATTACTCTTGTTTGACTATCAAAAATGCCAGTTTAACATGACCATTATTACTAACAGTAACCACACTCACTCCTCTTCTGGCATGAATAGCACCATCCTGTTTACTTATAAAAAATTGTGCAGTTCAATCCTATGTCATGATAATGTCTGCTTTGATGATTATTATTATTTTATTTATATAGCGCAAGCAAATTCCGTAGCACTGTACAATTGATGTGCCTGTTACTGCTATCGTTGCACTGCAGGCTTGTTTGTAATACCTTATGCACATCAAAAATAAAGAATAAAAAAAGTCAAATCAAGGCAATAATGTCCTCTGACATTTTTCATAGAGACAGAAGCGATCTGACTCCTTTTGTCGTCTATCCCACCTCCGTGCCAGCCTCTCAAGTGCTTCAGTCATTTGAATCATTCACTGGAACATATGTTTTAATGTTGGCTCATTTGCAGAGATCCAGATTTTTCTATAGCTGAAAAACAGTTTCCTTAAATTAGAATATTTTTCATGAATCTATAAATAATATATCTGTTAGCTAAATTGTGTGCTCTCCGTGCTGTAAAATGATTTGTTTGAACAATTAAACAAAAAAACTAAACATGTTGTTATATTCAACATCTAGTTCAGGTTATTCACTAAATTGTGAATTGTTAGGAATTCAAAGCAAATTTAAAATTTGAGGCCAATTATAGCCAATCTGAATGAATAAATTAAAAAAAAATAATTCTAATTCAGATATTATGGCTTAACCCTGTATGTGTTTACATATTTATTTATTTATTTTTTCAATTTATTTTCCCAGTTAATGGCTCTGTTCACTGTCTGGATGGCTTAATCAGTCCTAGACAATTAAACGCAAATGACACCTTTGATTAGGGGTTTTTATTTATTTTATTTTTTTATTACTATTATAAATAGTTTTTTTTAAATTTTATATATATATATATATATATATATATCTCTATCTCTATCTCAGCTAGAAGTAGATGTACCATACCAGCAGGAAATAAGGCACATGGATAACAATAAAGGGTGTAATTTTTTTTTACATTTATTTATTTATTTGTGCTGAATGTTACAAAAGCGCCCACAATGCCACAACAGCAAAAACCTACTTTTGTTATGTAAAATAAAGCAGAGATGGCATTTGATAACATGCACATTTTGTATGAAAGTAAGCAGTGTTGAGATATAAGAGAGATAGTATAATAGAATACCTCAGGCTAAGATAAATTAATTAAGATAGAGGCTGCCTGCTTTTGAGTGGTTTGAGGGTTTAGGCCCCAGTCCATTGATCAGAGTCAGCCTATTCCTCTTCGTTCCTGCATATCCAAACGGCTAGCAGCAGCTGCTTTCCCTGTTCGGGAGCCATTCCAGTCCCAGGCTTGAGAGAGGGCCAGTATCGATGCACCATAGATCTGGGTGTTTCTTAATTCCACCCCTTGCTGAGGGCGGTTGGAGGATTGGGTCGTCATTCGCTGCTTGTCTCGAGTAATCTTGCGTCTCCGTGTGCTGCAGGGCACGCAAGCCCCTTCTGGCTCTCGGTCTAGATTGGGGCGCAGTGGGAAGAGCAGGTTTCCTTCCCTGTATGTCACTCTGAGGGTGCCCCTTCACCATCTGCTGTGGTATTCATTTTCTAATTCGGATACACATATAGAAACAATTTACACATACAGTGTGTTTAACACCTCCAATGTCCACACAGAAATTAGAATTTTTATAAAAATTTTACAACTCAAGAACTTTACTACATGTATTAAAAAATAAAATAAAACGCGTTTTTTCATGTGTTTTTATAATAACTGATTCTATTACTATTATCCAATACCTTTATTTTGTAGACTCAACAATCTATTTATACGACAAATTAGAAAAACACGTTAGAAGTGTCTACTATCTGCGCATCTGTGTAGTGTTTTTTTTGTTTTTGTTTTTTGTTACCTAAGATCTGCCATTTTAAAGGTTCCAGGGATTGGCACGACTATCGTTGCATGTTGGTTTGTGAAGCTCTTCTAGAAGAGGTGTCCCAACACCATTTGGATCTGAACGCCCTTAAGCAGGGTAAGTGTTGAGTCAAAGACCTCACGGGTGAACATGTGGAGAGTTTCATCAAATAGGCCTATGTTATAGACAGGCATAAAATAGGAACTTAGAGGGACTATATCTCGGAGGAAGCTACCAGAGAGGACACTCAGCCCAGTACATCACCAGGATACCCCTCCTCACTTGACAAAAGGTAACACAAGGGAGGTGGGGAGTAAATGTAGCAATGTTGTTGTTTTTTATTTCATTGTGCAAATATGAATTTATGTATAATTATAATATATATATTTAATATCCCCCCCAGCACGCTGAAGCCCCAATCCCCTTAAACAATACAACTTCAACCTCATACACACACACACAGAAAATAGCCCCTGTACATACACACTAATGCCCCCTATACATACAAACAAACACACCAGCCCCTGTTCATACATACTAAAGCCCCCTATACACACACACACACACACACACACACACACACACACACAAAACAGCCCCTGTATATACACTCAAAAGCCACCGATGCCTGCGCGCGCACACACACACACCAGCCTATTTACATACATTCTAAATCTCCCTATAGACACACAGTAAGCAGCCCCTGTACATACACTCAAAAGCACCTTTTACACAGTCTCTGTACATACGCTCAAAACCCACTATACACACAAAGCAGCCCCTTTACATACACACTAAAGCTCCCTATACATAACACACACAAAACAGCCTCTAACCAGACACACTGTAACCTCTGTACTGTACACACCCAGAGTACAGCCTATATTAATATATATACACAAACAATACAGCCCATATATATGCACAGGACAGCCCCTAGATACATGTATATGCACGCTACAGCCGCTATATAAATATACTACAGCAACACATACCATCTAGACAAATACTATGCCACATAGACAAATACATAAAATACATCCTCCTGACACACACTCTCTACAGACCTAGAAATATAAACACACTGAAGCCCAAATACATACACACACAACAGTCCTTCTACAATCACACACTACCCTGTACACACAAACTACAGCCTGTATTCATTAACATGCACACTATTTCCCCTGTACACACAAGCACACTACAGTCCCTATAAACACAGAACACCCTCTAGATACATTATCCCCCATAGACAAATGCACACACATTCTCTCTCTTTTGACAATCCATAGACATACAGACAGATACACAATCTTTACAGCCTCTAGACACCCACACTAAACTGCCATTGAAAACACATTACAATTCCTAACCACACATTGTACACCATAAACAGACTGCTTTGCACACAGGACATCACAATCGCCTCTATGCCCACACATTGTCACCAGCAAACACATTGCAATTGTGTGATTAGATTTGCTTGTGCTGTGTAAAACACCAAACCTTGTTTCCATGCAAGAGCTCTTCAGCATGAGATGCCTTGGAGGGACGGCAAACTAACATGTTCACAACCACTTTGTCCCCACCCCTACTGGGCTGCTCTGCCTTTAAATGCCAGTCCCAGTCCGGCCCGGAGTATGTATATATACACCTGGGGTGGGTAATGAAGGCACTATTAAAGCTTAGTAACATTGTGATAATGACTGATGTAGGACTAGACTGGGTCCTAAGGAGAAAGCAAATTATTTGTAGTCCAATAAGTGAGGGCTAAATGCACAGAATGTGTTCACAGATTACTCTTCCATAGCCATACCAATTGTTACCAGCAATAGGTGCCTGTGATAGGCTGAGAGTGGTCAATGGACACTCAGCCAATCAATGCTGCCCACTGCTACTTACTCATGAGTCCAAGTTGAACTGAGGGGTTGCCTGCCAGCTGCTAGGGACAATGACAGGGGACTGTAGGTAATTTTAATGAATGAAACTTGTCATACCATTTTTTTTTTTTTTTTTGTGGCGGCTGCTATAAAACTATTCTTTTTAAAAGTTATTGAAGATCTGCACAACTTACGCTAGTAGTTGGTTATTCGATCGCTACGGTCAAGTAAAACATGTGACTCCCAGATGGTATGGCTTTTGTAGTATGGAAAGATCAGTTGTTTAAATTTGAATGCAAGATGAAATGCATGAAATCTGTCTTGATCCTTCTCAAAATCCTTAGTTGTTAGAACAAGCTTTAATGTAAAGAGCATTTTTTTTTCCCCAAAAAAAACATTTTTATTGTAAATGCATGATACAAGAATATGGCACGAGTGACACTATCATTTTCCAACCATCAAGACTGCTTTTAAGCTGTTAGTCAATCAATTACATTCACTTTTTTGTGGTTTTCTCAACATAAACAAAACAGAACAAAACCAAATAAGGCATTTTTTTTAAAATAAAAAATATATGTTTAGACTGTAATTCTATGGAGTAAATTATAACCTAATTATTTGTAGGACAAAGATGCACTGCCATAATGCTATAATCTCTCCTCTGTAACATACAGCTGCACAGCAGCACTTGGCATGGAACAAGGGGCAATCCACTGGTGCCAGCTGTGAGGAGATAACCTGCTCAAGTATGCCCCGCATGGCTCCAGCAATACTCCGATACAACCACCCTTCTGAGCTATCCCAGCTAATCTGCTGCAAGCACCGGGTGTTAGAATTAAAGGAGAAAATCTATTTACAAAAGGTATCAACCTGTCTTATAAAGTTCTCTATTGAACATTCTACAGTCCCAGTGTTCTCAATCTGGTCATATGAGCTCAGGAGGCTTTTTACATGGTCATTCTGACAGACCTGTTAGTGTTGTTACTTCTTATTGCAACAAGATAGTTAAAAATTATAATCTGGTCACTTGAGCCCCCAAAACAGCTTTTAGCTTTAAGAAGCAGTTTTGGTGTATACATCATGTCCCTGCAGTCTCACTGCTTCTCTCTCTCTCTCTCTCTCATCTCCATCATCTCCATCATCCCATCATCCCATCATCATGGAGTTAAATCACTTTGTTTATGCAGCCCTAGTCACACCTCCCTGTGACTTACACAGCCTTCCTAAACACTTCCTGTAAAGAGTATTCTAATATTTATATTTTCTTGGTTGCAAATTCTGTTTAATTTAGAATTTAACTCCCGCTTTTTTTTTTTTTCCATGTAAACACTGCCTTTTCAGAGAAAAGGCAGTGTTTACATTACCTCTAGGGACACCTGCAAGTGGCCACTGGTGGTGGTTCCTGGGTCAGTGCTGCACAGTAGGCAGCTCTGCCGTTCACCATCCCCACGCTCTGCATGGAGAAGCTGAATTTTCCTCATAGAGATGCATTCATTTAATTTATCTCTATGAGGAGGTCCTGATTGGCCAAAACGTCATATGGCCCTGCCCATGTGCCGATTTGAGCCAATCCAATGCTTTCCCTATGGCAAAGCATTGGATTGGCTAAAAAGCGGCTATTTGATGTCACAAAGGGGGTGGAGCCAGCGCTGGCAGACCTGGCGGCACTGGAAATAAGGTGAATTTTAAACTTTTATAGGATGGCTAAGGTGGGGGCAAACCACCTTAATTATTGGGTTAAACACTATAGGGTCAAGAATACATGTTTGTGTTCCTGACCCTATAGTGTTCCTTTAAGTTAAAGTAGTTTTGGTGACTATAGTGTCCCTTTTAAGATACAGAAGATGAGATAATTGCTGGGGCAACTGTTCTCCTTTCACTTTAATTCCAATACCTGGTACCAATGCCTAAATCTCACTTCTTTCTGCCTATTTTTGTAAATTCCACCTCTTTCTCTGTAGAATGCATACAATTACTTTTCTGTTTTTCGGTTAATGACCTCCGCTCTAAGCCTCCCTGTGCAGATGTGTTCACTTTTGTTCACTGTAATAGCGTTTAATTGCTTTCGTTCTCCCTAAGCTCTTTAAATAATTTGTCTGCGGTCCTGGTTTCTTTTTCCCAGGTGCTGAATAAAGAGCTGCTTTCTGAGATGGATTTGCGATGTCACAGTGACCCAGAATCCTGGCTCCTTTACAGAGCCATCTACACCCAACTTTGCGAGGGGGGGGACGCATTCCCCGTACTGGTACACGAGGACAACTGACTAACGCCAAACACACAGCCCACGGAGACAGAACGCAACACACTGAGAATGCAACGTGCCGTATGCCTACTGCAGCAATTATTTCCCTGTGCAGCTATAGGAAGTTTGGAAATTGGAAGTTCAATGTATTGTACAAAAGCCATGAAATAATGCTTGATTTTATGAAGATTTATAAATAACTGTGTATGTAAAACAGAAATGTGACCATGCAAAGTAATGAGACAATATGGTCATATAGGAGACTCTGCTTGTGGGTACACACAGCTTACGCCAATCAGGACCCCTTTCAGTAAACATTTAATCTAAATGTCTGCATTCTCTCTTGCTAGCACCATGAATTGATTAAACTGATATTTCCTTGATGCTGTTCTATTCACGCATTTAATAGGGAAAGCATCCACACTTTACCTTTAACTTAAACTGTAAATTACCACAATTAGGTTTGCTGTAAGCCTAATGGGAGATATGGTGCAGAGCATCTGGAAATCCAGAAGTTCCTACACCTGCCCAAATGGATCGACTCACCCCTAGGTTTTTTTTGTGTGTGTTTTGTTATAGAAGAATGCAATTAGTAACACATTCTCCAGCTGCTTTCATATTCTTCTAGTTTTTAAAATCCTTTTTATTTATTTTTTACAAATCCACAATCAGGGTGTCTACTCTCCTCGCATTTTAATGCAAATCAATACATTCGCCAAGTTGCATTTCAGATACGCAAATAGAAAAATCAAAGAATTTTAAATATGTATTAAAATCACCATCAATGCTGTACTCCTTCTTTGTAGCTGATTTTTGCATAATGGAATGTGAAACTTGTAAAAGGATTAATTGTATAGGACTGCAGCGCATGTCATCTCACATCCTTTCCACCCCTGTACTTGACAATTAATAATGCTGAGGAAAGCTTCTGGAGGTCCCTGGTGTAATAGAGAAGGAACGGTATAAATCCACATTTGGGCACTAGCCACCCTAACAGGGCTGGACTGGGGATTCCAAAGTAGCCCTGGAAAAAAAAAAAAAAATCTATGCCAGCCCCATAAGTCATTGCGCCATATGTAAGGCTAGGTCTTGCCACCCTAGATGATTGATATAGATATATATATATATATATATATATATTTATTTTGCTTTTTCCAATATAAAATATTGGTCCTTTCAGAGTAACATTTTTAACTATACAGTAAGCATACTCAAATGCAGACACAGACAATCTCACTGACACAAGCTGATTGATACACAGCCTCATAGACAAACAATCTCACTGATATACATAAGGTCATTGACATAAAAACACAAGCTCACTCAGTAGCAGGCACACACACACAGCTTAATGTAGTGGTTCTGGGGTCTATAGCCTGTCCCTGCAGACTTTTCAATGTAAACACTGACTTTTTAGAGAAAAGGCAGTGTTTACATTGCTTCCTAGTGACAGACACTCAGACGGTCACTAGAGGTGCTTCCTGTGTCAGTGTGGATTGGCTGAGATCATCAAGCTTGATGATCTCAGCCATAGAGGCAGGGCCAGTCGAGGGGAGACCAGCACGACGTGGGAGGGGAAAAGGTGAGTAAAAACACACATACCATGACAGACACACACCATGACACAGACAGAAACACAGACACACCATGACAAAGACACGCACACATACCATGACAGAAAAACACCATAACACAGACAGACTGTGACACACACACATTACATGACACAGACAGACACACACACCATGACACACAGACACCACGACACAAAATACAAAAATGGGATGTCAAACGGAAAAAAAAGAGAAACTGTGACAGACACACCGTGACACAGACAGACCATGACACAGACAGACACACATTACATGACAGACACACACACACACACAATGACACAGACACACACCATGATGGACAGAGACACACACACACACACACACACACCATGACACAGAGAGACACGCACACAATGACACAGACACACCATGACAGACAGACATACACACAAGGACACAGACACACATACACTCACACTGACACACATAATTTCTACCTTTGTGCTGGCGGCCGCAGGGGGAGCTGGCTGTTCTGTCTCTGCTCCCCCTCCCCAGCGCACTACAAAGAGACCGGGGCCGGAATATGACGTCATATTCCGGCCCCGGTCTCATTAAGCGGCGCGCAGGTGAGCCAGCTGCCTGCCCGGCCCCAGGTGCCGACGGCCCACCGGGAAATTTCCCGGTATCCCGGTGGGCCAGTCCGGCCCTGCACCCTAAGTGCCTGACCCTGTTCTATACTCCGTTTCAAATCCCATACACTTGTTTTAATATGTTGTTTTTGTGGCATACAGAATGGTGTTTTAGGAACACTGTTAGATCATACATCGCATACTCCTGACCCTATTTACAGGTTTCTCTGTTTGCGGAAGGGGTTTCTATGTATTATATTAGCATTTCTGCAGTGGGTGTATGTGTGTCTCTATATATATATATATATATATATATATACACACAGTGGGTATGTTTAATGGTAAATAATTGACAAACTTATGTCCACAGATAGATTATAATATTTTTTTTATTATTGGTATTTATATAGCGCCAGCTTATTCCGCAGCACTTTACAATAAAAGGGAAATTTACCAAATAAGACATTAACAAAAAAAAAAAAACAGGAGCAATAGGTAGTTGAGGACCCTGCTTAAACGAGCTTACAGTCAAGAGGAAATGGGGTATAAAACCACAATAGAAAGGAGGGAGACAGCAAATAGACATGGGGGAAAGTAGCAGAACTGGAGGTGAGAGTGGAGTGTATCCCTATAGAAGAGAGCAAGAGAAAGGTTTGAGAGATAGAAGTTACTCTTGGAAGCCATAAGCAATCCTGAAAAGATGGGTTTTGAGGGACTTCTTAAAGGAATGAAGACTAAGGGAGAGTGGGGGCGGGGCCTGACCGTCATGCTGACTGGTCGCAGGCCAGAGAGGCTCCTGACAAATTTGGTCCCCTATGGCACAAAATTTTAACATCAAAGCAATCTGAGTGACCAGAAGCCCTCTTAAGCACCCAAGCAGAAGCCGGAGCCACCACAGTCCCTGAGATCAGGAGTTCCAGAGCCCCCAGCGGGCGATATGGGACTTTGGGGCCTGCGCCTATGAGGGTGGAGAGCGGGACGGACGGCCGCCGTCCTGCTTGTGATCCTGGCCGCCCTGCAATAGCCTTGTGATGCGCCTCGCAGGCCTCGCTCCCCCCTCCCCCATGGACCGGGGGGGTTATCCCGCCCTACAAAGACCCTACATCAAGCCTACCTGGAGTTCTGCGCTATGAGCCAGGGCACTAAAATGGTGGAGCCACGATCCGCAATGGACGACACAACCTCGCCTGTCTGCAGACGGAACCACCTTGCTGAGCATCACCCTTACCAAACAAGCCCACACATGATTCTGCCTTCCGACTACATGGCGAGCGGCCTGGGGATGGAGATGGAGGGCAGCGTCGGCGTGATGGGCCCACGAAAGCTCCACTCACTCTATGTCCCTGAGGTCGGGTCTGAAAGAGACTGATTGGAGAGGCCCACCAGCGGCACTAGCGGTAACCATGCTAAACTACTGACTCAAGCCGATACCACAGCAACAATGCCCATCGACTGCCCTCAACGCCCGCACACAACTAGGCACCGCTAACAGAGGTGCAGCTTGCCTCCATCACGAGACTCTAATGCACAGTCCCCCATGCCTCATCACCCATTCAGGATGGCTAATACCAGCCTCAGACTTACCGACTACGCCATGCAACTCTTTGAGACACTGCAAAACCGACGGAACCTGCAGCACTCTGTGGACTGTGGCATGCATAGGGACAGATCTATCCACGGTGATTTCAATTACCAACACTCACCACAACATGTTATACCGCTATTTTAATTAAGCTCTTCTCTAGCAGCTAGTCTATGCCAAGAGCTTCATTTGTAAGCGATCCCACATTGAACGCATGTCTATTTCCATACCTTAGATTACTTAGCCATTAGCAAGCAGTATAAAGCTCCACGTTGCATTTACCATTTTGAATCCTTGACACCGGTAATCACAATCAGTGGGTAGCATATGGCTGTGTTCTCACCTCTCTCCTCAAGCATTGAATATAACTAGTTTGTTAATATTTCTTACCTTATACAAAAAATGTGCAGCAATCTTAACATGTATAAAGTTTTACTCATGACAACTTGTACTGCAATCCAATAACATGTTTATGTCAACTCATGTACTGACCAATGCACTACTAAAATAAAGAATTTAAAAAAAAAAGACTAAGGGAGAGTGACAGGGGTAGGCAGGCTGTACCAAAGGAAAGGAGCCACCCGTGAGAAGTCTCGCAGGCGTGATTTTGCAGTAAGGGTGCGAGCAGCAGACAGGAGAAGGTCACCAGTAGAGCGGAGAGACCGAGAGGGGGCATACCTATGAATCAGTGAAGAAATGTAAGAGGGGCTAGAGTTGGTTAGAGCTTTATAGGTAAGGGTTAGTATTTTAAATTGACACCTGTAGGGGACAGGAAGCCAGTGTAAGGATTGACAGAGGGGTGAAGTGTGAGAATTGGGGAGAGCAGTACAGTAAGCGATGCAAGAGATTACTAGGACATGAACAAGCTCCTTGGCAGCATCTTGCGTATGAAAGATGTGTATGCGGGCAATGTTTTTAAGTTGGAATCGACATGTTTTAGCAACAGGGGAGGCCAGGATCAAAAGTGACACCAATACAGCGAGCTTGAAAGGATGGGGCGAGGCAGGTACCATTAACCTGCAGGGAGAGTGAAGGAGGAGGATCAGTGTTATGAGGAGGAAAAAAAGGAAACTAAATTTTAGAGAGATTGTGTTTCTGAAAGCGGGAGGACATCCAGTCAGAGATAGAAGAAAGGCAATTGGTGACACATTGTAGGACAGCAGGGGAGGAGAGATATATTTGGGTGTCGTCAGCGTACAGGTGTTAGTGGAACCCAAATGAATAAATGAGTTTACCAAGAGAGGCAGTATAGAGCAAAAACAAAAGGGGACCAAGAACCTTGAGGGACTCCGACTGAGACAGGAAGAGGAGAGAAGGTGCTGTTGGAAAAAGAGACACTAAAGGAGCGTTGGAAGATATAGGAGGCAAACCACGAAAGGGCTGTGTCACAGAGACCAAGAGATTGAAGAGTTAGGAGAAGGAGGCCATGATCAATAGTGTCAAAGGCAGCAGAGAGGTCAAGAAGAATTAGTATAGAGTAGTGGTCTTTGGATTTGGCTACAATTAGGTCATTTGTAACTTTAATAAGAGCAGTCTCAGTAGAGTGGAGGGGGCGAAAGCCAGAGTGAAGAGGATCGAGGAGGGAGGTGGAATTTAGGAAGCAAGTCATATGAGTGAAGACAAGACTTTCTAGAAGCTTTGAGGAAAAAGGAAGCAGGGATATGGGACAATAGTTGGAAGTGGAAGACGGGTCTAGGGATGGCTTTTTTAGGATGGGTAAGACAGTAGCATGCTTAAGGGGAGCAGAGACAACACCAGATGAAAGTGAGCAGTTTAGGATGTGTGTTAAGGATGGTACAAGACAAGGGGTGAGAGCTCTGATGAGGTGGGAAGGTACTGGATCAAGTGGACAGGTGGTGGGACGAGAGGAGAGGAGAAGCGCAGCCACCTCCTGTTCAGTAGCTGGAGGGTAGGGATGGTATGTTCCAAGTGAGCTTGAGATGGAGAGGGGGGGGGGGGGGGGGTAATGCATTCCTTAACTTTTTAATCTTGTCAGTAAAGTAACATGCAAAGCTATCATCTGAAAGATTCGTTTGTGGGGTGGTCACAGCAGGACAAAGAAGAGAATTAAAAGTGTTAAAGAGATGCCTAGGATTGTGGGAGCATGAACTATTTAGAAAAGAAAAAGAGGCTCTAATCAAATGACTTTCAATCTAGGGGTAGTAAGGTAAAGCAACACATGTGGAAGTGGACACTGTGTAAGCAGGTAGGAGAGAATGGTAAATCTGAAGCCCGTGTGGAAGAACCGCAGACAGGAATGGGAAGAGGACTATGGCGGGACATTGTATATGTGGATGAACAGGAGTGGTCTACAGAGATATTACATGGGAAGGTGATACGCTTCATAAAGACATGAGTTTGAAAGGACTTTCTAAAGTACTGGAAATAATAATAAAATATATAATTGTGGGTGTGTATATGTGTGTACAGTATATTGTTTGTTTTACTTGGTGTGGTGAAAGTGACCTCGCCACTGGTTTTTGGAGGGGCCTGTTTGCTTGCCTCCTATCTTGTGACTATGGGCTCTGCAATATACTTTGCCCAATACATTTTAAAAGGCTTCATTCATGTAATGTAAGTACTTTTGTACTCCATAAAGAGAGACCGACCACTGGCCCTAATTTCTTGGAACTGTTTTGGGCATGAAGCCATCTTGGGGGTATGTTATGTTTTGGGGTACTTTCTGAACTTTGTAAAAATGTGGTTTTTCTGCCTGGAGATAATTGAGTTACTTAAAGGACTTTACTCAATTATCTCCCAAGCAGAGGGGAGGGATTGTGTGCTGTCATGGGCATGTCACAAACCATATGTTTGTTCTGATTGGTTTCTGTCCTTTGTGTTCCTGTGCCCCATCAGGCCCAGGGGGTGTTCCTCTGGCCTGGAGAATTGTATAAAAGCCAACCTGAACCATTAAAGCTCAGATCAGCTTGCACCTTCATGAAGTTTCGGCTCATGTTTGGGGGATTGGAGAACTATACTCTGGGGATTGCTATAATCACTATACACCCCTGAGTATATTTACTAAGCTCTTGTAAGAGCTGTTCCTGCTTGACTCTGGAGTGAGAGAAGTTCACCCACTGGAACCTGGAGCATTGTTGTAGGTCCAGGGTGGGTAGGAGACGGCGAGACCCCAACCAAGCTGCGGCGGTTTGTTGGGTTTGTAGTAGTTATGGTGCTCCAGCGCAGTGCTTATGGTACTCATCAGTACTAGGAATCAGCAATTGACGGAGGTACCCGGTCAGGGTGCAGTCGGTCCGTCACACTTGATAACTTACTTTGGTGAATTATCCCAAGAAATGGCTGTGAAACAACTCAGTTGTTTAATATTGCAATTTGTAGAACTCAGGGACACCGGTTGTTTCAACCCAACCTTTCACCCTTCTGAAGTCAATTATAATTATAGTGTTAATGCTAAATAATAGTAATCACTATTGATCAACTGCCACTCCTGTTAAAATCCAAGAGAGCTGTGCCGCTCTTGACTGCCATGTGGATCAGTTGCTTGTAGACAGAGCTCCCAGTGAAAGAGCTGGGTTTTTTTGCCCATTTATCTGACTTTGTACTGGAGATATTGGGCATTCAATCTGTAAGGGTTGCCCTCTGTACCTGCAAGTCTCTCGAAACAGACACTACTGAATATTTTTGGTGGACTTTGCCTGGAGGCTCCTGAGGTGTCGGTCTGAAAAGTCGAATGTGATAGAGGCACATTCGCCCAGAAATCAGATGACCCAATGCGGATCCCTGCTTCCCTTGGCAGTGAGGGTTATCCTGGTAAATGTCAATGATGAAAAAGCTAGATCATGTCCTACCTCAGGGAATTGTCCCCTGAACATCAGATGGTCTTGTTCATATAGTTTCTATCTCCACCCACTCTAGGCAACGAAAGAGGACACTCAAATCACTATCTGATAGCCTGATCTCCAGGAGCTGATTGGGCTGAGAGTCTTTTTGGGGACCCCTGGGATGTGTCCCACTTCTTTGGAGGGAATACAACTGCCAATACCAAGCAACAGTGATCTTACAAGACCAGGGATCCAGAAGCAGCTGGATCAGTGTGCAATGCATTTAGGCGCTCACCGAGACCCAAGGTCGGTGGAGTGAATGGCTCTGGATGCAGTTACCATGTCTCTTTAACACCTTAAGGACACATGACATGTGTGACATGTCATGATTCCCTTTTATTCCAGAGGTTTGGTCCTTAAGGGGTTAATCCATGTCTATTAAATTTACTTTTATCCCAGCTTGGAAGTAAAATGATCACAATAAGAGCATGACCTAGACTCTAAATTTCAATGATTAACCTCTAATATGTGAAAATTGAGATAAAAATGCAAATAAGCTACCAAGATAACACGGAAAAGGCAATATATTTTAACAATGATAATTTAGAAACTTATAACAGAATATGGACCCCGTGGTTTAATTGTTACATTTAAACCAGATAAGATTTTCCTTCACTTTCTATTTCCCTGGGTTACCTTTTATTCGCTCAGCTGGAACATCTCTCCACCTTCGGTAACTCCTTCCAGACTCACCTAGCCCTAACAGACTAAAAACGATAAGAATAACTTTAGTTTGTTAGTCTGTATATCCTACGTTTGTATTGTATGTATATCTGTATTGTATATGTATATTTGTTTTATATTGAAAAACTAATAAATATTTAATTAAAAATAAATATTAAAAAAAGAGCATGGCCTTGAGCAGGACGCTGTTTTTTTTGTTTGTTTCTTTGCGCTATTGGGTTTTTAAATGTACATTTGGTTTATTATTCTGTTTCGGTGCGTTGTATCAAAGTACAAATTGGCACTTTGACCGATAGCTATTTTCCTGCAATACCAGTACACTCAAGCAAATCTGAATAGCGTGGGATGAAGAGACTTAAGATTCACTTGTTTTATGCTGTAAACAAATGATTTGTCTCAATTTATCTTAATCCTACCATATTTCGCACACTAGTGCATATATTGTTGAAAGATTATTGTGTGTGATATTCTTGCACTACTTGTATAATTTGCAATTACTTATTACTTCTAAAATGAGATGTTTACTCAAGCAGATGTGTGCTTACAATATCATTCATTTATTATACACTATCATCTCAATAAAAAATCAAATCTAAATGAAAAAAATTAAATCCAAGAGAGTGCGCTAAAGTGCTTTGAGTCCGCTTGGAGAGAAAAGCGCTATATAAAGCATAAATTATTATTCTCAATTATTTCATGAAATCTTTTGTTTTTCAGTTTTATCGTACCTTGCTGCAATCTGTGCCTTGTCATGCTCCCGCTCTATCCTTGCGTCTACCACAAAGATCACGTCAATCGCCTTGGGAATGTACCTATTGTATTCAGTCTGGAAGAGGTTTAATTAAATGTAAGTTATGCAGGGGCAAGGTTAGCGAGTCTGCACACTGTACTCAAACATTAACACGGCTGAGCCTTTATTCCTTTCTTTAGCATATAAATTGAGAGTTTACAGTGGTGAAGAATCTGACAGTACACGGTTCGTCTATGGAATAAACTGTTGTTAAAGGTTCATCGTAATGGAGGCCAGTATTCTCCCTGTTTTGATACCTTTTTCATAGACACAGATCATATGGACAGCACATAAATAGTGCTTCTTTGTAGTATGGTGAATTCTTCTGATACAGGAGTGTAATCCATTAACTAACAGCAGCAGTTCCTTTGATATACTGCTTTTATTACAGCTGAAGTAGTTATGGTGCAAAATCCTTGTCCCTGCTGCCTTTATTTTTTGAAAATATTGGATTCCAGAGATAAACATTTTTTTTGCTACCCAAGATTGTCAGCCACCTAGAATACTCTGTTCCTGGTACCAATACCCGTTTTTATACAACATTTTCATCTGGTGCCAGCACACACAGCATGCCAACCTTGGACATCTCGGAGAGGTTGCCCAGGCGTGTGTGAGTTACATACACACACAAAGTTATTTACTAAAGCATTTGGCATTTAAAGTGATTTTTTTTTAATATATGTATATATTTAAATGGTTAAATATATACATAAAAATATATATGTACTTTTGGATTTAGTTTCTCGTTAATGAATGGATTTCTCTGTAGATCAGTTTTCTTACACCACCTGATAGTATAGAGAGGCGGAATATATTCAGGAAGACCAGATGGATCTGACCTCCTTATACTGAGACTCTGCATTATTGATATCCCAGGAAACCATAGTTATTCCATAATGTTTAACCTCAAGACCGTCACAATGTACGCCATGCCCTCCATTCAGGAGCAGTGGGGCATGGAAAACTAATGTTTTGTACCATGGGAACATGTAAGAATCCGCAGGATATTAACACTTTCAGAGCTCAATGGGTCAAACAGCATTTTCTCTCTTACATAAGACGTTTAGAAGAGCTGTGATAATACTACCAGCATTGTGATCCTGGCAACAATGACCCCAATATTTGAGGGATATTCACAAAGCCCTGATTATTTAATATTTTTACTTATCTCTGTGCGGTGCCTGTACGGTGTCCAGGAGAGTTCCAAATAGATTGTATTTTTATGGGTATGGCCAGAACATATCTGATTTAAAATACAGGAACGGTACAGAGTAAAAAGAGCTAATTTAGAAGCTTCCTTGTCCTTGTTAAGAGGAAGACAAACCATCTTTAGGATATTGGAATATGGGAAGGCACCGTTACTTTCTGAGGCTCACTCTTTTAAATCAGAAATAGGCTTCCTTCCAGCTGTCATTTGACAAATGTTGCTATCAGCCTTCCAGTCATCAAGGTTATAAAGCTAAATCTTCAAACATTACCACTCAAAAGGAATATTTGGCACCAAACTGATGGGGCATCATGGCAATAGTAATACACAGCAGGGGAGACAATGAATAGTCTTCCATCTTCTAGGCGCAAGATGGTACCCATGCCTCCTCTAGATACTGCCAATGGTTAGTCATTCCGGTTTTAGAGATTGCTACGGTTTCCTGTTCTACAGAGTGCAGTTGGTTAGCCATTTCTGCTCTAAAGGGTGCCATAAGTTTGCCATTCCTGCTTCATAGAGCTCCATTGGTTAATCATGCATGTTCTAGAGAGTGCAGACGTTATCACTCTTACCCTAGTGGAATATGTGCCCTGCAGGAATGGTGCAGAGGTTTGTTGAATATACAGTTTAAATTATGCCCTGCGCTCATACTTCCACTACATCTGGGTGGCAGCAATGACTATAGTACGCATCAGCCCCGATACCTACAATAAAAACAACAAAATAGGTACTTGCGCACTACCCCAAATCCCTATGCACATTTAAATAATTGCAGGTTTTTTATTATTAATGGCCATTAAAGTGTAAGCTCATCTACACTATAGTCATTGCTGCCGCCCAGGAGTAGTGGGAGTCTGAGCGCAGGGTTTAATTTTGTATGTTTGTATTTGCTTTTGTATTACACAGCCATGTTACAATGCTGCTGCCCACCCCATGTGTTCCCTATTAAGGGTTAATAAGTGTGTAGGGGCTTAGAAAAATACCCCTTTCTGACTCATTAAAGATTTTACCTTTTAGTTGAAAGCAGCAAGGTGAACTGTTATTGTAGGACTCAGATAAGAGGTTTTTCCTTGACGTGGCAGATGAACTTGCACTTTAATGGCCATTGGAGTGATGCTAAAAAAACCTCTAGTTATTTAAATGTGCGTAGGGATATGGGGAGAGTGCGCAAGTAACTTCTTTTTTTATTAAATTGAATTTATAGTTTACTGACTGGTTTATCCTACAAAAAAAAACCTTTACAATCGCATTAATTTCATTAATAGAGTTCCTTTACCTTTGGAACACAGTGTTCCCTGCTTGCAGAGCAGAGCTCATGAAAATGTATAAATTTTACTTCATCACTTCATTAATAACCTAACATTTAAAAAACCCTTCTTGTCCTTGGTGGGGTTTGAAATAGCCCAATGATGTTCTCCCCATTACAATATGTCTAGATCAGTGATGTAGAATCCTGCGCCTCCATAGTTTCCCGACTCACGTTTCGCCTGACGCTGAGGCTGCTGTAGATATTTCCTACACGTGCAGTGTGATGGTGGCTGATCTTTCGATCTAGATGTGTCTTCTAGATCCTGTGCAGTACGCAGGCCCTGCATGCTGTTCAGCCCCCTTGTCTCAATCCTGCCTAGAAACACGTTTTCTATACTGGTCTGTTTCCATTAGAGACCTGCAACTAAGGTGTCTCCTATCCATTATCTTTTTCTTTCTCTCTCTATCTGTATCTCCATGGCAGTGGTAAGAGGACGTGTGCATCCATTTAAATGGAACCATGCGATAGAGCTCAAGCTGTATATTAAACTTCCACTCATCAAAGCCAGCATTTAACTGCTGTTTATTTTGTTCATTTCTATTGACCAACCCCATATGATTATCATATGAGGGTCTCCGTGCCTTCCTGGGATGTGGTCAAATAGGTATATTCACTGAATTTTAATTTAAACCAGCTTGTTTTCTTCCATTTGGTTTTAATTTGCTAAAATTCTAAAGCAGAGGTGTAACGAGAAATCACTGAGACCGGTGCAAAAAATTGCCTAGGCCACTCCCTACCCCCCCCCCCACATGTGTCTCAGCCACTTCCACCTAACTCATTCCCTCCCCCATAGCTCCTCCGTGCGTCTCATTCCTTCCTAACCCTTCCATGCATCTCATCCCCCCAGCCCCTTTGTGTGTCTCATTTGCCCCCCAGCCCCTCCATGCGTCTCATTTCCCACTCAGTTCCTCCTTGTGTGTCATTCCCAACTCCCCCCAGACCCTCCATGTATGTCATTCCCAACTCCCCTAGCCCTTTCATGTGTGTCATTTCCAGCTCCCCTAGCCCTACCATGTGTGTCATTCCCAACTCCCCCAGCCCTTTCATGTGTGTCATTCCCAGCTCCCCTAGCCCTACCATGTGTGTCATTCCCAACTTCCCCAGCCCTTTCATGTGTGTCATTCCTAGCTCCCCCAGCCCTACCATGTGTTTCATTCCTAACGACCCAGCCCTTCCATGTGTGTCATCCCCAACCCCCCCCCAGCTCCCCATGTGTGTCATTCCCAACCCCCACACCCCTAGCCCCTCCATGGGAGTCACCCCAAACCCCACCAGCCCCTCCATATGTGTCACCCCCAAAACCCCCTCCCTAGCCCCTCCATGTGTCACCGCAAAATCCCCCTCCATGTGTCTTCCCCAACCCCTTAGCCCCTCCATGTGTCACCCCAAACCCCACCAGCCCCTCCATGTGTGTCACCCCCAAATCCCACACCCTAGCCCATCCATGTGTGTCACCCCCAAATTCCCCTCCCCAGCCCCTCCATGTGTATCACCCCCAAACGACCTCCCCAACCTCTTCATGTGTGTCACCCAAACTCCCTCCCCACCCCTTCCATGTGTCACCCACAACCCCCGCAGCCCCTTTATGTGTCACCTCCAAACCCCCAGCCCCTCCATGTGTGTCATCCCCAAACCCCCCTCCTTCCATATGTCACCCCACAACCCCCATCCCTCCATGTGTGTCACCTTGAGCCCTCGAGCCCT